TTAGATCTGAAGGAGATGAATCTTTTCAAGGACATGACCTCATATAGAAGGGTGTGGTGGCATAGGATCATAGTAGTTGAGTAGTATATGAGTAGTCCTACAAGTTTAATCCTTTTATGTATATATAGTGTTGGGGATTACTAACATCAAGCACATATCTAAAGGTAGCAGAAACAATCGATAGATTTACCTAAGTGCACATGCATCCTAGAATCTAGGTTTTACTAGTTATAACAATATACTTTAAAAATAAACAAAAGAAAGAATTACTAATCTATTTAGTGCTTGATTGTGATCTCGAGAATACCAATTCATTGCTATTGATGAAGGATCCAACATAACACCCCTCTAATGGAATCAGGCCCACAACAGCAAAAGCAAAAAGGGCAAACCCTAAACTAGGGTTTATACATAATTAACCAACCCTAGGAGAGGGGGTTAGAATTTTATTATGGAAATAAAATAAGAGAGGTGGAAGAAATTTACAAGGGAATCAACAGCTCTAGGGTTTACCCTTTGCAGTCTATCTATAGGCAGTAGACTAAAATGATTCAAACTCTTAGTGTTAATTCTTATCTGATTCAAACCTGACTTATCATTATCAAGAAACCCATCATTTTTCATCTATATCAGAGTCTCCAATAGCTTTTGGAATATTCCAATTAGTCCCTTGGATTAATTAATATTCAAGCTCTTTAATTAATTAACACCTTTTAACTAGTTACCAAAATAATTTCTAATTAATTTATTAATTCATAATAAATTAACAACTTATTATCTCGATTTCCTTATTGGTATTTTGGTTATGAGGCCAACCCAAAAGGACTCTGCTATTATTAGAAATATTATCAAAACAGTTAATGATTTTGGACACTATTTCCAACATATAGTCCTTCAAATGTGCTTTTATTAGTGTTGGATGCGAATATGAATTTTTTCCCTCTTACCACGTGCTTATATTTTCTTGTATCTACTCCAACTTTGTGGCTAATGTTTGCTCCATGTTTAATTGTTAGTATTTTGCTTACATTGTTTCTATATGTAGACCTTTCATGGTGACATTTATTTGTGCTTGTATCCCTATGAGTCCGACAATTGTTTTCCTTATTCCTGCATGTTATATTTGTTAGTATTTTGCTTGTGATGTTATGCCAAGTGCTTGCTCCATGCATTATTGATACTATTTGATTAAGTGGCATGTATTCATATAACTTGCATATGTCTACCCCTAATCCTCCTTATTTCTAGATTTGTTGTTTATACCTTCTTTTTGCTTAGTCTTTAATCACTGATAATTTCCATTTTAATTACTCGTTTATTTTTTTAGTTTGCTAGATGATGGATTAATGTGTGATATGCATGAGATCTTAATCAACGAGGCACATTCCTTTTTAATTATTGTTAGAGGTGTTTTATTTTTATTTTTATTTTTAAAACAACTTTGGTTGGACATCAATTTACCTTCCCTATTACCCCATTCTATGAAACTCAGGGTTATGTTATTGTTTGTTTTTATTTTGTGTAGGTGCTTGAAATTTGAAACTAAGTAAACCGTAAGGTCTCTATGGAATATTGAAAAAAGATATTTGATGTGATGAATTGTCAATGCATGTATAATGTCTAATGTCCTTTGTGTTCATAATTTAGTTACATGTTTTCCCATCATTAAATATATGTGCTCATTTATGGACGATAACCGGCCTTTGGGTAGGATAATTGATTTGAATACAACAATGTTTATCTATACATTACAATTTATACTTTTGAGAGTTGTATAACATGAAAGAAAAAACATTTCTTTGTTGTATAGAAATCAAAAAGTGTTGTGTACAAATCATTCTTTATTTTTGGTAGTAAATATGTCAGTTTATTTGTTGACGGTACATATTGCTACTTTATAAATGTGTGTGTCTGAATTGAAATGTGGAGACAAATTTTAATTTATTCAGTTAAAAACACTTCACAATTTTTGAAAATACGTTTTAGAGTCTTAATTTTTTTAGTGTTGTAGAAAAGTAGTCATTTTTTTGCCTAATTATGTTTGATATTGCTTAAATATTCTCCATGTAATAATTTGATAAGATATTTGATGTTAAAAAAATATTAAAATGTTTTGAGATTTTTGACAAATTTATGAAGTTATTTAATTTATTTAAATTATAATGTTATCCAAACCAAATCTTATAAGTATGTTCCAAATAATTTTTTTTTTTCTATAGATGACTTATTGTATGTTAAAAAATGATATTTAGAATTATACTATTTTCCTATCACAATCTATTATATGATCGTCCTATATTATATGTATACATAATTCATGTATCGAACAACCCAATGATTGGAGAGTAGATTTTAATTTCTAACCATAAAATATACTCGTTGTTTTCCATCTCAAGGGTGATTGGAATTGAATGTTTGATGTTGGAAATAGTTATTATGGGGTGGTATTTGGTTTATGCAACCATGATTTAAGTGTTGAATGGAAGAAGAATGTGGGGAAGTAAGAAGAGAAGACGTGGGGTACAAGGTGGTGAGGAATAAGAAAACAGGAAGACACCTTGAGTATGAAGAAAGATGTACAAGGTGGTGAGGAATAAGAGAAGAGGAAGACACCTTGAGTATGAAGAAAGTCGATTTAGGGAGAAAAAAACATGGATTTAGGGAATTAATTTAGCATAGCTCTGATACCATGTTAGGACATTCACAATGGATTGAACTCTGTAGAGCTCAATGGATTGACACGTCATCTTTCTACATTCCATACAACTCTATTAGTTATTTCATACAATGCATTGAACTTTACAAAGCTCAATAGAATATTACAAAAACTAATTTGTGGTATTTATTTAATAAATATAAAAGTTTCATTTTACTTATTGAAGAGTTCGGTGGGGAAAAGGAAAATGTTACACTCATCCACAAGATCGTTAGAGCCACCCAGGACTTGCGTCTCGGGAGTGACTTCCGACGATCAAGTTAGTATCGATATGAAATATAAGTCAGATCCTTTAAGCGGAAGGAAACCAATTATGTGCATATAAGAGAGTCATGAGAGAGATTATAACTTACTTTCGTCCCCCAGTATGTCTGTCAAGGGATGTATTTATAAGAGAAGTACACTTTACCTTAGGAAGGAAAGTAGAGAGTTGTACTTGAGGTGTCGGGAGCAACTTTTTGTCTTGGGAAGGAATGGATGGTATTACTGAACTGAACCAACATAACAATACCGAACCGAACTGAACCGTGTTGTTGAACGTTGTTGTATGAAGAACCATGTTTGGCCGAACCACATTTGTAGGACCATGTTTGGTTGAACCATGTTGGCGGAACCATGTTGGGCGGTACTTGGAAAATGATCCG